ACGTTCGAGACTTGCGTTTTCTCCCCGTTTATTTCGCTCTTTGCGTTCCAGTTTCGACGAAATCGCGCTCGATCGCGTGAAATTTCAAAGCGGAACGTGGCAACTCTGCCGCGGAATGCATTCACGCCGGAAAAGAGAATAGGATCTCGTGACGTAAGGATGCTGCGCGTTGTATAAACAACGTTGTATAAACAAGCTGGATAATGATGCGGTTGTACATAACCGCACGAGCTCGTTGACAAACCTCGGCAAACGTGCTCCTTCGCGTATATATTTATACGTTATCGGACCTGGCTTCGATAATCCATTGCCTTCCAGTGGTTGATTGGCTCTTTACCATTGAATTGCGAAGGATGTCTGTACCTCGATATCTTTGTTGCATTCGATACATATTATTTATACGTATTGCCGAATTTACCGTGTTTCCAAAAGAAGAAGGAACTATAACTACCGAGATTACGCTCGACGAAAGATCGACGTTTAATCACAAACATTTTGAAAATTATCGAGCTTCAGAATTAAATTGAAATATTGTACCCTTCCTACGGATATTTCCACGATTTTATCGCGAAAATCCCAATATATCTATCGATAAATTCCTTTGATAGAAGAACGAACAAAGATCGAAAAACAAATTGAATTATAAAATTCTTCTCCTGCGTAGCGGCCGCAAACTCGCGGCTATTAAAACGAATCTATTTAAACGAGATCCGATAATCTACGACACACGTCCGCAGGGGACGCGTCCTTACCGATGCGTATTAATAGATCGACCACCTTTCGCGGTCAACTGTCGGAGCTTCCCATATTTCTGACCAGCAGATGCCCGTAAATCTTTCTAGTCCTCTCATTAACTGAAAAACATCGAGCATTACCCCGTGGCAAGGAACGTCCCTATTCGCGCCACCAAATTAGGGTCTCGGCTGGATGCGTGGAATCGTTGCTGAAATATTACAAAACGATCGGCATACAGGGTCCAGCAGGTTGCCCTCTTCCACGAAGGGATACGAGGAAGCAACGAAAGCGAGGACACAACCGATGTACGGCCGAGAAAAAAGATTCAAGGAGCTATTAAGAGGGAATCCCTCATAGCGCCGCTACCGTGGAAGATGATAATCTCGGTCGGCTACCGGTAAGCCGTACCGGACCCCGATGACGGGGGCTCGGTGGTCGATAGATTTTACCTCATAGTCGCTGAAATTTCACTGTAGGAGGTCTGCCAGGTTGACACTATTAAAACGATAGCCAGAGACAATGGCCGTTTCTGCCAGGAAAGATTCCCCGGTGAATCGTGGCCAGGCTCCACGGATGGACGACAGGGGCGAACACGAGGGGGCCGCAGCATGTTTTCGAAATGAGGCGAACTCCTTCAGCAGGGGCATTCTTAATCTTCATTAGTTGGTTTAGAATTTGCATACCAGAGACTCTCGCTCGTTTATCTGATCGTGGCCAGCGACAACAGTTGAAGGACCCGTGAAACTTCCTCCGTTGTCCTTGCCCTTGTGTCGCGTAATTCCTACCCCAGCGTGAGGTTCCAACGTCCCTTCGACGTTCCTCGTGTCAAAGGAAATACTTTCGTGGGCTAGCTCGAACGGTTATTCCGGGGATATTCGAGAGTTTCTCGAGAAACGTTGAGATCTTTGAAAAATTGCCAACGACCTAATTAACGTTAGTCCTTTTTATCGACAGAATATTTCAGTATTGCCAGCTTTTTATTTCGAATTGCAGAAGTTTATCTAGATTCAGAATGGAAGATTTATCTACCAGAATCTTCG